TACTAAAAATGATTCAGAAAAAGAATCTTATAAAGTAACACCCTCTGTAATTAGTATAGAGAGAGACGTAAGTTAAATTTAGTAAATACAAATCGGCTGTGTTGTACTCCTTTGCTTGCACAAATTAAAATAGCTCTTTGCACACTGTAACTTTCACGAGTTGGTCTGCAGTGCAATAACATTCAGCATCAGGCAGGATATAGAAAAATTGCTGATAACTTTTTCAAGAAACATGAGTTTTGTATGTGATGAGGACTCAGCTGCCTGTCTTGTGGCAGTTTTGTTTTGGGGTAACTCAGTCTCTGCTCTAGTTACAATAGTTATGTATTTCACTATTTTTACAAGGAAAATGTAACTGTACACTGCATTTCTAAAGGTATGTGAGAAGCAGCACACTCCACAAGAACAGAAGAAACACGTTTTGTAGGAAAGGGTGTCTGCTTCTTAGAACTTGCAGATCAAAACAGTCCATGACTTAATTATATGAAATTATGATTACATGTTGCCCACAAAGGTAATTATAAATTTGTTTTGGTCTTTACCTAAAATTTCTAGCCAGTGCTGCTGCATCTTTTCAAACTGGATACATTTGAAATGTATGTCATGAATTTGAAAATATCATCTAAATTAAATTCTCTGTCTCTCTTGAACTGCTTATGCAATGAGTAGCATTACTGGGCACAAGCAACCATTGGCCCTCAGCTTTTAGTGTCCAGCTAAAAGTGGTTTTAACCACTAAAACATATTCTTGTTTATGATATGCAGATTAATGTATTTTCTGGCAAATAAAAAAACATTGTTATGTGATTCCTGTATTTTTCTAATTTCCTCATTTCCTCATTTTAAGAGGAAATATATTGTTCCTTTTAAAATATACTAGGTTAAAAAATAAGGTTTCCATTTCTTTCTTATTTTCTGGTGAACATAGGAAAAATGCACAAATTATTGAGGTTTTTCTTATATAAAGCTAAATATTTTTCTAAATATATTGAGGTTCAGATTTTATTTAAATTCTTCAGCAGACATTGCATTACAATTTCTTGCTTGCTCAGAAAATAAAAGTCACCTGAACTTATTCATCATCCAAGAGTTTTTCACTATTTTTGTTTAGAAAGTTCTTGTTCAAGGTTATTTTTATAAAAACTGAGTTAGGCAAGGTTTTCTAAGTGGACGTATACTTTCTTCAGATGCTTCATGGTAATATCAAGAGGTTAATAGGGAGTTTAGCAATATTTTGAAAAGGTTTCTTTCTTTGACTCTGTTGTATTTAGTCCCTATAAGATAAAGTACTGTGAATCAAAGTTTCTCTTTCATGTTGCATCAGTCTGCAACTAAATCTTATAGTCCCATCCCTGAAAATAAAAACTTACCGGTACTGTTGCAGATAAGTTGCTCAGGCTTACATTTACAAAGTATTGCGCTTCCATTTTCCACACAAAATAAAACTTACTGTAAAACTTGCTTATTAATTTTTCATATAATTATTCCAAAAAAATCAGAAAAGCAATGCATTTTTCTATGTATTTTAATTCATTGGTAACTGAAGATGATTTTTTAGAATTCACATAATAATGGTGGTGAAATATTAGCCATCTCAAACACAAAAAAGGGAGGAGTTTTTTGTGTTTCCATAGGCATGGTGATTGGATTTAATACTGTGCCTAATCAAATAGGCAAGGATTTGACTACAACTGAGTGACTGAACAGTAGGGCTGTTCATAATAACTTCCATGGAAGCTTCAAAGGAGGACAAAAGATATACACAGCTTGTACTTCATAATACAACTAGAAGTTTTTAAAAGAGAAGTTTTGTATAGTATCAAGAATTGCAGAATACTGAGGAAAAAGGACTTTCTGCAAACTCACAGGACTAAGGGTGAGTCCAGCCATCTGTTGCAGAGGGTCACAGTGTGCTGTGCAGCCCCTGAGTGGTCATCCAAAAGTCATCCAGACTGTAGCCTTGGGCCAGGAAGAGAAGGGGGATCCAGCATAGAGTGGAGCTGGAGCTACCACTACTTTTGTGGAAGATATGGGAGTTACTACTAAATAGTTACTGTTGCCAGCAGGGTACAACACAATTTTCCATAGGGACGGTACCTGAGCAAACCAGTAGCTAAACAGAGAGTGGGTGGAAAGATTTACATAATTATAGAGTTATAACTATTTCGTATTACCCTGTCAAAACCCCAGGAGCAAAGTAAGTCCCTTTTTCCTTTACCAAGCTCCAAAGAACAAAATGGTGACTGTCCCATTCTAAGTATGGCAGAGGAGGTACAGAGTTAAGAGCATTTTCTAATTGCTGGTTGTACAAATAAACTGTTCTGGTACTAAGCTGTGAACAACATGCCTTCATTTTAGATGGCTGTGGATTAATTCTTTGAATTTTGTTTAATCTCTCCATTTTCACCACTGTATTTGTAAAGACCAGGAGTAAAAAATGATTTAAAAATAATAAAAATTATTTTTACATACTTCCTTGGCTAAATACTGTCCAGTATTCATTTTGGGTACTTTGAGATATGCTGGATTTCTATATAACTTCCCATGAAGCACAGAATCATTTTGGAAGCTATTAAAAAGCTGTGGATTTAGTTTACATTTTGGCATGCATGGGTTTTTTTGAAAAACAGAAACAGAATCACACCACCCTAACCCCCACCCCCAATAAGAAAAACCCACAGACATTATATCTTTGTCCTTTTTTTCCCGGGGGGTGGTTTCTGTTGTTGAGAAGTGTCTGATCATGAATAAAGCACTAGCAAAACAAAGTCAACACCATTTCAGCTTCAGAAGGAACTCTGATGCTGTGAGAAGATCCTGCTGTGCTGTATTTTATTTCTATAGCAATATACAACAGCTATGGTAATTCTGGTAGCTCTTTCAGATACATGACACTTTTAGTATTGGCACATGTCAACAAAACTGTAGCATCTGACAAACACAGAAGAAATTCAGTCCCATCTGAGAAATCCTGGGTAGGGATGAGGATAGAGGGCAACAGCTCCTCCTTTACAAGGACTGTCTGCTCCAGGGTCCCATAGGCACCAGACTTGGCTGCCTTTCGTTAAGCACTGAAGTGAAGATGCTGTGATTGGTGGGAGGTGGGCTTCACTGTTGTTGTGACACTAATGCTCAGCTCTGCAGCTCTGGATTTTAGCAGATCCAGACACACCAAGCTCTTCTCCTCTCAGCATCCATGAGGGACTAGTGGAATGAGACTGACCAGTTGTCACAAAGAACACAGGTCATATGGCAATGATGCTGACTGGTACATAGAAAAGAGAACATATAACCTTTCCTTTAGGTACAGATTGCTCAATTTCTCCTACCAAAATTATTCACATTAAAAAAAAAGAAAACCACTAAAATTTAAAATCTTGTCTGTAGTAAGGAAGCCGTTAATAGTTCTGCTTTGAATATACATAATATTATAGCTTTTGTCTCTCATGATGATTTTACCCGGTTTGAATTGCCTCTGACCATTAACTAGAAATTCACTTGACCTGAGATTAATCTTGAAAGAGAGGAAATGAAAGGTAATTCTGTGAAGGCCTTACAAGACATGAATTAATACCAGTCTTTGACACAAACATGGTTTTATATAGTGAAATAACAAATGAGCTATCCTTATGTCCCTGTGAAGTCACACATCTGTAGTGTTTAAGATATCTAGGAAGAAAAATGCTTATCTTTGCTCATCACTGGCTTTCTCTGCTTCACCTTGGAATAAAGCTAGAGTGCCTCATTTCCACTCCATATCAAAACATGGTCATCCCTGCATGCATGCTCCTTAGCAAAATACTGTTCTTCATCAGGAAAACATAGAAGAATCCAGATTACACAGTGATTGCAGGAGGAAGGGAAAAAGGCAAAATCCCCACTTATTGTTTATATGTAAATGGTCTGTGGTCAAGCAACACTGAAAATTCTCTCTACCCATCAAAAAGGAAAAAATTACAGCTTCTGTATTGGGAGGACTGAGCCCTCATTTCTCCCAACACTCAGGAAACAATCTGAAGAAACAAAATTGAGCACAGACATCTGGGTAACCAGTGCACATAATCTCCAGTAGTATCTTCAGACTTCATGTATATGTTTGATTTGAAGCTGATGTTATATGCTCATCACAAATTGGCCAGATTATATTCTCCTTTTGTTTCGCCATATATTTACATTCATATCCTTTTGTCATGATATAAAATACTTTAGGGACCGAGCCAGTATTTCTACAGTGTTTGAATAGTTTTGAACTGGTTAAAATAGTTGTAAAATTAAGATATTTAGCAAGGCCAAATATAGCTTGTACTATCACACTTACTCAGCAAAAAGAAAAGCAAGTTGGACTTCTGCTTAAATAAGAAAGAAAGCTGGGCTTCTGCTTTGACATGTTTCCTTCAAGCAGAGCCTCAGAGGAATGACACACCCTCATCAAACCAGTGGGATCTTTTGGACTCCTTACCTTTCATTACATGTTGCAAAAGTTTTCCTTTCAAATAGCAACACACTGCAGCCATCTGATTTGAGAGAAATTTATCTATAGAAGCCAGAATTACACTCTTCTAGGCCCAGGATCCGAGCAGAGCTGAAGAGAAGTATCCATAGGGACGGATCCTGAAAGGACACCTCAGTCGCCTCAGCTCTACAGGAGCCTCTTCTCCCTGCCCCGCTTCATCCCGACTTCTAGTTTACCCGAGGTCACTTCAAGGGTGCCTCACCTCCCCTTCTTCCTGCCCCTGCTGCCGCACTTTGCTGGGAAAAATGGGGAGCGGCTCTCGGTTTCCCAAGGGGAGAGGCGCAGAGGGAGGCCCCACGCCGCTGCACAGCCAGCGCATGTCAGCGGGTGCACGGAGGACCCCCCATCCAAATCATCGGCCTCTTTTCCCAAGGGAAAAGCGGCGCCCCGAGGGGCTGAGCCCTGCCGGGGTGCCGCAGGGTCTGCCCGAGCTGTGGATCTGACCTGTTGCTTTTCTTTTTACACGCTGAGCTGCTTGCTCGGGAGATTACCGCGGTAATCGGACACGAGTGAGAGGAGAGAGGGATGCGCTTCCCCTGTCAGCCGCTTTGAAAGGCGCACGGTGGTGACCAGAGCCGCCGACCCCAGCTTGAGGACCACACTTGCTGGTTGGGGACATCCCCGGAGGGACGTCCCAGGAGGGGCGGCGGGAGCGCCGCCTGAGAGGAGATATCCTTCTCTTGGGCGTAATCGTAGCGTTAGCTATGATTGTATCCACGCCTCGCTCCTCGCCAAAGGCTAAAACCCTAGGAGGGCTCCAGGTGTACAAGGTTTGGGCGATACCTGGGATGTCACATCAACAGTTCTTGCAAGGTTCACTCTGGGGCAGAGGCTCCTGACAGGTCCCCCGAGTGGTGCGAATCCCCAGCGCCCGTGGGACACCCTCCGCTTCTCCCCGGACTGCCCCGCGCGGCCGTCCTCGGGCTCCGGAGTGAATCATGGCCCGGGCCCCTGTCCGAGAAGAACCCTCGAAGCGGGGCTGTGGGCACAGCCCTGAGAGAGCAGAGGGAGGTGAGCGGGCCTGCCCTTCCCAGGGGGTAGCACCCGTCTTCGGTTAACCCAGGAGCGACATAATCCCAGAAACCCCTCCCGCCACTCCTCAGGCGCCCACCGACGGACGGGCTTCGCTTTCAAGGCTCAGCTTGGCAGAGTCTGTTGTGCAGCTAATAACATAACAACCCTGCTTTGATCAATTCGAACTAATTACCCCTCTTAATTAAAGTCTTAAGCGGTTGTTTCAGTGTTTTGGCAAGGGCGAGGAGAGCTTTGCCATGCGGAAGCGCCAACGCCGCGCTCCCCGCCCGCCCGTCCGCCACGCAGCCCACGCCGCCGCAGACACTCCTTGGCAAAGATTTATTTCCATCGGGTCAACGATTTCTTTTTTTTTTTTTTCTCTCCACGTGCAAGAATCAATGCGAAATTCAAATCCGTACATAGAGAACAGTTGTGCCCATATAGATACGATATTCAGGGGGAGAGAGAGAGGAGGAAACCAAGAAGGGTGGAATAACCAGCAGACAGCGGAGGCAGAGCAGGATCAACACAAGGGGAATATATATATACATCGAAATAATTAAAGTGGTGCAGCATTCCCCGCTCGGGTAATACAGATTCCCAAATAAATACAGCAGAAATTGGCTTGGCGCTTTTTGTTTTTTGTTTGTTTTTTTTTTTAACCATCTCTCCACCTGAGATGCAACGACAACAAAAAATAGTCTGTAAAGAACAAAGGAAACATTAAAAAAAATAGGAAACAACCAGTCCCATTAACGTTATTGGCGATATAGAGCGTAATACACAAAACCGCTTAACAGGTGCATGCAAAGAGGCGGTGGGGCTCGCACCGGCGGGGCCGGCGGCCGCCACTCACGCCTGGAGCGGCGGCGGGCCCTGCAGCAGCGCCCCGGGCGGGGGCGCCGGGTCGGGCCCCCCCAGCTCGGCGGGGGGCTGGGGCAGTCCCAGGGCGCTGTCATGCAGCTTACGGACGTGCTTCTTGAGGTCAAAGTTCCTGCAGAAGCCTTTACCGCAGGTGGGGCAGGTGAAGGGCTTCTTGTCGTTGTGGGTGTGCATGTGGAAGGTCAGATTGTACACCTGGTGGAAAGCCTTATTGCAGATATTGCACTTGAACTGCTTCTCCCCGCTGTGAGTCAGCTTGTGGTTTTTGTAATTGCCTGGGAATGAGACAAGAAAGGCAAATGGACCTGGATTTGAAAGACGGACACTGAAAAGACGAGAAAAACATTTAAAAACCCCAAACTCTGTCCCATCACCCGAGTTCGGCTTTAGGATGAAACGACCGCAAACCTCCCGCCTTCTCTCCGTCCTTCCCGCGGCTGTTACACTTAACAGAAGACAAGGAAAACATCGAATAAAACAAAATCATGACCGTTGCAGAAATAAAACGCCTGGGTTTAGGCTTCACAGCAACAACGGAAGAAAAAGTAGCTAAACTCTTGTATTTGGAGTTAGAAATAGGAGGCGAATTCGTTTGCCGAACCGCGCTGGAAGCTGCATGTTGCAGTGAGGCGAGAAGGGCAGAACAGGCGCTTCCAGCGGAACCACTGCTCCGCCCTTCCCCAGGACAGAGACCTCTGTCCCGCACCGTGGGGCAGGACATGTGTCGGGGCTAGCCAAACTTAAAATTAACCCAAATATCTAATAATAAAACTTGAACACAAAATTAATTCCCCACCACCCTCCCTGCCGCAAAGTGTCCCTACACTTGGCTTGGGGAGGAGGAAGCCGGGGAAGAAAGAGAGTGATGGAGACTGGTACCTTTCTGGTGAAATCCTTTGCCACAAAATTCACACACAAACGGTTTATAGCCGGCGTGTATTCGCGTGTGCGTGTTCAGAGTCGAGCTCCGGTTAAAAGCTTTGCCGCACTGGTTGCACTTGTGTGGCTTTTCCTGGAGGGAAACAAACACCAAGTCACGGCTTGTTGGCTGTCCTGCGGGGTCTGTGTTCTGTTTAGCGGGGTATATGAGCTGATTCGTGGAGTTCTGTGTTTAACTCACGGCTTGCAGATGCCTGTGCGGGGCACCCGCCGTACCTACCGCGCTTGAGGCAAACGAAATCGCCCCGCGGCTGCGGATTTGCCGCCCCCCACCCACATGTTTCGAAGCTGCCGGACAAACGCCGAGCTCCCCGAAAAACGTGAGCGGAGTGTCTTGGGCAGGGAGGAAGGGACAGAGGATGGGCTCACCTGGGTGTGGATGATCTTGTGCCGACAGAGCGTGCTCGCCTGTCTGAAGCCCTTCCCGCAAACTTTGCAAACAAAGGGTCTGGCTCCCGTGTGCACCGGCATATGGCGCGTTAAGTTATAATGTGCATTGAACACCTTGAAAGAGAAAGCAGACAATAAAATAAAATTAGATTGCGGTTAGAAGGCGAAAGTGCCGAGTGGGAGCCGTCGTTTAAAAATCAAGCAACCAAGCGACAGACAGCCGGCGGGCAGACGGATGGGGACAGGAGGCTGGGGAAGGGAGGCGGGCTACGGCGCTACTTGCCTTTCCACAAACTTCACACGTGAAAACTTTGGGCTTGCTGCTCGGGGAGCCGCGGCTGAACTCCGACGTCTTATAGGCGATTTTTTCCGAGAGGATCTGTGCACTTTCTTTCATGTACTGCTGCAACTGAGCCTGCGATAAGTCCTTGAAGGCCACCCCCGCCGAGTACTTGTCCACGGTCGGTAGCACCAGCTTGTTCCGCTCCGCCAGGTAAGCTTTGGGCTGCGAGTGCAAGGGAGAGGTGAGGAAATAAGAAGCCACCGGGTGGATGTTGACACTGGAGGACGGGTGACAGGGGCTGTCGCCTCGGTTGAAATAGCACAGGGCTCCCATGGCGTGGAAGGAGGAGTGATTGACCACTCGGGGTCTTACCAGTTTGTACTGCTGCAAGGGCAGGGCATCGCGGGGGAAATCTCCTTTCAAGCTCAGGGCACAGTTCAAGAGATCGCCGCAGCTAAAGGAGGGCGAGGAAGAGGAATCTAAGTGAGCCTTCCTGGGTTCTGCTCCAGCCACCGCCGCTTTGGGCAGGGTGTCGTAAGCCACTGGGACAAAGGGGATCATGCAGGGGATGGAGGAGTTGAGGTGCAGCGGATGCTTGGGATCGCTTTTGGCTACGGAGCCATGGAGGAGCTGCGGGACGGGGATGGAGCGGGGCTCTGGAGTCCGCGCCATGATGCGCTCAATGGAGAAAGCGAGTGGCTTGGGCGTGCTGATCATGTTGCTCCTCGCAGACAGGCTTTCTCTGGACGGAGGAGTCGCTAGGATTTTGGTCGCCGTGTGGTTGCCACTATTGTCCATGGCTGAATTGCATTTGTTCTCCCGGTTTGAGCCTCTCTGGTAAACGCCTCTTTTTTTTTTTCTTTTTTTTTTTTTTCTCTCTCTCTCTCTCCTCTCTCTCTCTTTCACTTTCTCTGCCCCTTTTCTAGTTACTGATCTGCGAGGAGAGAGACCAGCATCGTCGCCGCCACCATCACCACAGCCTTCGCCGGCGGAACCAGCCTTCTCAGTCCAGTGGACTCATGCCAGCCCATCACAGTTTACTTTGGCGCACCAATGACTCGGGACAATCGCTACTTATTTCTATCAATAGAAAGTGTTGTGTCAATAACGCAGCCAAGATCTCGCCAATCGTTAACTTCCAAGAGGAGAAGGTAAACTAGATAATTGCTCAATTCGCTTCCAACAGTCAACAGGAAAAGTTTTTCCCCCCCAGCAAGCGCCTACTTTTCATTGGTGCCCGCGTCTCCCCCGCCCAGGGAAGGAGGCGGCCCTCCCTCCTTCTCGCCTCTCTCCCCTCTGTCTCCCTCCCTCTCTCTTTTTATTATTATTATTTGCAATCTGCTTAACCAGGCTTTAGAGGCCAAGCAAATCCGAGATCAATTTTCTTGTTTGGCTTTAAATGACATCATCTAAAATCATTGTCCAAGTGCTAAATAGGGATGTGAAACCCAATTCAAGGGCAAGCGCCAGGGTGTTTGTCAAACAAGGTGCTGCAGAAGAAGCGGCTGGAGGGGAAGCTGTTTGTTTCCTTGCCACTTTCCAGCCCGAGCTCTCTTTGTGCGTGCGTACGTGTGTGTGTCTGAGGGAGGGAGGGAAATGGCTGCTTTGCTCCTGGGACTGCTCCTGGGACTGCTCACTGCTTTAAAGAACAAGGTCAGGTGGCGGTGAGCTTTTGGAAAACACAGTAGACTAAAATAAGTGGGGGACTTCCAACAAGCAGACGGCGAGACCAGCACGTGGGGATGCAGGAACCTCCCGTGTCAAATGGAACGAGTGCTTGGGAGCAAAAGGATGTCTCAAAACCTGGGGCAGGGGAAGAGAAGAAAAAGGAGGTAGGAAGAAGGGGCGCCTTTTAAATCTGAAGCATTATTTATATATATTTATATTTATATTTTTGTATATATATATACACACATATGTAGCCTGCATATACACTAAATATAGCTTCTGTGTCCTTATAGAATACACGCACAATACAAATACCGGAAGCTCAGGGTTGGCATAGATAGAGAAATCTATCGCTCAAACTCTGTTTATAGGTATATATGCGCCTAAACATGCAATCACCATGTATTTAAGAGAAGCTTGACGGCCCTCTTCGGGGCTGGCAGCGCCAGCAGGTGATCGTCCTGTCAGCGAAGCGGGGGTGGTCGGGGAGATGAGAGGGGCAGCAGCGGGTACAGGACTTTCTGTGTTTCCGCCCACCCCACCATCCGACAGTTCGGGCCCAGGACAAGGTCCCGTTCCTCCCGCCGGCTCGGGGTTCACTCGGCTGGTGACTGAGAGGCCACTACCGGAATAACTCCCAGGAGAAGCCAAGGGTCCCTCCGTTCCTGCCACCCCCGGGAGCGAGCGGCCAGGCCGCGTCTCTCAGCGGAGGGACCCACGCAGCAGCTTCCATTTCAGAGGTCCAGCACTGCCCTTCTCCGAGGCAGGAGGTCTCGGGTTTGCTAACAGAGAGAAACCTCCAGCGAGGCAGGGAGGCCCGACCCCCACTGCTCGGGTACCAGCCCAGGAATAGGCAAATGGCAGTGTCTCCCCCCGCAGCCACAGCCACCGGCCCAGGACAACCGCTTTCGAGGAAATGAGAGCAGGGAGAGAGGGCTGGGGTCCCAGGGAGAAAGGGAGGGAGAGATGGGAAGACGGAAGGAGGGATGGAGGGAGGCATCCTTGCCCCCGGAGCTGTGACCTGACCGATGCGGCCTCACGCCACCGCGGCTGCATTTGAGGAGAGCAAGGCAGCGGCTGTTCCACGACGGTACCTCCGCGGCCGGGAGCTCCATGCGAGAACGAGGAGATGCGGGGCACGGAGAAAGAGAATGCACTGTGGTCGCCAGGACGGACGTCGAACGATGGGCAGTGGCCTGGGCATCACTCTCTGCACACCCAGCGACCTCCGTGTCCGCCCCGTCCCTCCGGTGTCCCGGAGCGCAGGCGGGTGACAGAAGACGGGGCACGTGTCGGGATGGACACAGCCTGGCGGGCAAGCGTGAGGCGGAGGAAGCACGGGATCCGCGCTGGGCTGTGCTGGGCTGTGCGAGACTCTGGCCCCGATGCCTCGCTCCAGCCCTGCTCCTTCTTTTCCCGTGGTCTGGGTGGGGGCCGCTGAACGGGGCTGCGCCGCTCACGTGCTTCTCCCCCGCAATTCCCCACGGCAGATGGGTCGGGGCGTTAAGACAGTAATTGCTGTCCCGGATCGGGTTGCTGCAGCCGCCCGCCTCTTACCTGGAGGAAGGAGGGATCGTGGACTTGCGGGGGGACGCAGCCGGCCCCCCCCCAGCGCCGTGAGCGGCAGCTGTCTCGGGCTGCCGCTTCTCCGGAGCGTTGGTGTCTCTCTCTGGTACTTTGTGTCCGCCAGAAGATAATTTCCTCCTTCAGAGCAATTTACGTTTAATTCAATCTGGGCAAATTTCCTCTTGATTGGTGCTGAAGAAGGGAATTATTGTTGAGTGGGTTTTAGAGGCTTCAAATCTCATATACTTAATATGTTAACAGCTTGTTCTTAACTGGTCTTTTTGGGATTGACTTTTTGACATGTGTTTGAAAGTAAAATATGTAGTGTCATTTGAGCAGGGTAAATATCCCAAAGCAGCAATTACAGCCCTGCCATTGCAATTATACTGGTCTCCTCAATATTGAGATACACTTTCGAAGAAGCGTTAGCTTTATTATTCGTTACTTCCTTACAAATATACCTCCCTTTCTTTTGGTACCTCTCACAATAATTTATGTAAATGCCTAATTTTCTGTTGCGATCTAAAAGCCAAATTTTTCGGGGAGGAGGGGACGACACGTCATCTCTTCTGTCTCAGAGATGGAGACTTGTTAGGTGCTGGTCTTGCCCGCAAAATAGATCGAGATACTAAAATCAACCTCGACATATCCTTTTAGTTCTGTCCTGAGCTTTCCTTGCTCTCGGACAGCACCTTTTTTAAAGTTTTACATATCTCCCGAGTGGCAAATACCATGCAGTCGTGGTGGTGCAAGGTTGTTTTTCCCGAGGCAGAGAAATTTACAGCCTCTGAAAGTGGCAATAAGGAACCTCTCGGCCGGTTTCTATTGAGGGGCAGGGCGGGCCCGGGCTCCCTCCAGGCTGGCAGCACATACCGAGTCCCAGTAGAAGAGGCTGCTAGCGGGGGAAGGAGCGAACCCGCCGGCCTCCCACAGTTAGAAACCGTCGCAGAAATTAAGGGCAAAAGTTTTGCCTCGAGTTGATTTTGTGCTCTGCCCGGGAAATCTGCTGTTCTCTTTTTCCCCGTAATCGGCTTTGTGTTTAATTCGTTCCTAAGGTATGTTCTTGATATTGCTCACTTGCATTATTATCATAACGTATCTCTATATGCACTCAAAATCCGAGTCACCGGCGAATTCATCTTGTCGTCAGGATTACTCCAATCCGATCCCAGAGGCGATTAGAGGGAGGTAAAATACCGCCTCAGAGCCTAATCTTTAATTTCTTCTCCTTAATAAAATGAGTAATTCCATTGCGTTTTTAAGTAAAAAATGAATTGAAAAGGATAATAACTCCGCTAACCTTCTGTTTCTTGTATTAATATTTTCCTGGGAGTTCTTTACTGCAACCCTCCTGCCCGAGGGGGCTGCTCCCTCCGTGAGCCCGGAGCTCGATCGTGCTCCCTCTCCACGACCGGGTAAGAGGGGGGATGGCAACATCCCTCCTGGCTCCGGGACGTCCCTGGGGAACCCGAGCGTGGAGGGAACGAGGGAGGTTACAAAACATCCTTCTGGCCATGACATCGGCAGACTCGACGGCTGCCGGATAGACCCTGATTACTATTATTACTGTTGTAATAGTGGTCCTTAACAGTGACACTGCTGGGATTCGCTGCTAAAGCTTGGGTTTGCTCTTGCTAGCATCAGTCCAAGACGTTCCTTCCCGAGCTGCCGGATTTGTGAAGAGGTGATTTACCCCGACAAGCACCGGGAACGCGGTGTTCCCCTCAACCGCAATGCCCGCAGACCCCGCTGCGGAGGAACGCGTTGGCCTTACAATTCGGAATTAACCCCTGGCGGCTGCGGTGCTGGAGGGCTCGCTGTTCATTCCTAATCAGAACTTATTGTTTACTGTCTTTTGAAGGGAAGTAAAAATATAAACGGGGGAGTTCCAGCCGGGGGAAGTGGACCAGCCGCTGTCACAGTTTATCAGCCGGCGCTGGGAGAGATCCCGACCGCCGTCCTTTTCGGTGGCAATCTGCTGCTACCGCCCGCCACCGAAAAGGACGCGGCTTCCTGGCCCACCCGGCCCCGGCCCCTGGCTCCCGTTCTGCTCTGCGGAGGTCGGTCGCCGAGCCCGAGTACACCTCTCAGCAGCCTCGGGCTCTGCGCCTTCTGGACCGTGTGCAAAGGCTCTTGGCCCTTCCCAGCTTTTAAGTTGTAACACTTCGGCGTTTTCTTCACTGATAATTTCTCCGGTGGAAGAAAATAATATAAATATGTGCGTGCGCGTGGGTATGTATTTTCGGAGACTACATGTAATCTTCCCATATAGTGGGGCTGTGTTGGGGTCCTTCTATAGAAGTTCCACCTCAAGCAAAAGAATAAAGTATTACTATTTGTAACCGAACCCATCACAAAAGAAAAAAACATTTAATACTGGCTCGCAAAATACAAGTGCACCCGGAGGTAAAACAAAGTTTGACAGTACTGTACATTTCGTACAGACCCCCCTAAATCGAAACTGGTGCAAATTAAGCCTTTTTATGTAAAAAGCCTTTAATCACATATAAACGAAATTACAAGTGACCCTCTAAAGCAGCGCTTCCGGCCCTCCTGTAATTCATGCGAGCGATTTGGCTAAGTGTGCCAGCTCCGAACGTGGACTGCAGCTATCACGTTTAATCTAATCAGTCCGCCTGTGAGGGGACCCAGCGGTGTCATCAACTCCAAAGGGCCCTTGGTGGAAGTGGCTGGGATAGGCCAGCGGCAGCTGGAGCCATGAATGACACTTTCTCATTTGTTCCTTTCCCAGTTCAACAAATGTTTAGCCCCGTTACTGCTAAATGAACGTATTGCGCTCTTTGGCTGGGGGAAGCTATTTATTTTTAAGATTCCTGAATAGGATCAGGAGCAATTATCTTAATTTTTGTTTCCATTTTCTGTCGGTGTATTGGGAGGTAACCTGGAGCAAAGGTCGTTGTGTGGGCGCCTGTGTGCTGTATTCCCGGCACCGGGGTACGCCTGGCGACAGAAGGGTGTCCGCCGGACACGGAGCGGGACAAAAACCCGCTAGTTTATGGTGGGACCCGTTTCGATGTGCCGCTGAAAGAAGGAGGAGAAGCCTAGTGAAAAACGTGAAAATAAGCACTCAAGTATGAATCGTGCCCTGTCGCAGCCGCTGCGGGACGGAGCCTGGGGAGGATTCCCCACCTCGGCTGCTCTCTCGGCGCCCATACCCGGGAACAGACACAGACAACAACTGGGCCACTCTCGGAACTGAGGGGGCAGGAGGAGGAGGGGGCCGGGACACGACGATACACCTGCTAAGGCCGAAACGAAACTTTTTTTTTTGTGTGTGATTGATTTATCTTGTTTTTTTAGCTGCATTTTTTCCCCCTAGTCGCTGTTAAAACAAAGCCCGCCCGTGCCCAGGGGCGTCCAGGATTCCGTCCGTTTCGCACAGAGGAAGCCCCGCTCCCCCCATCTCCCCGACTGCCCCGCCGTCTGCTCCGCGCTCCTTTGCTGACAGTCCAGTATCTCATTCAACTCCCTTCGGTAGGTGCCTAAGGGGCATTCTCGGTGCAAGAACTCGCCTCACAGCCTTACACACCGTCCCCGGCCCCCTGCGCTCATGGCCGTGTCCCTCGGGGAGTCGCACTTGCTGCCCACTCCGAAGTTGACACTGGTGCACCTCCCGCCCTCTGTGCCGTGAGTCTGGTGGGTCTCAGGAGGAGTTTCCCAAAACCTGGAAACATCCAGCATCTGACCCGAGATTCCCCCGGGAGCCCAGGAAGTGTTGTTGTGGGTGCCGTGTCCCCACGGCCAAAGGAGAGAGGCCGCTCCGCTGGGCCCGTTCGATGAGCACCGGTGCCCCGGGAGCCACTCGTCCTCTGACTCTGGCTGTTCCTCCAAAGCTGCGCCGGGGGCTTCCCTCCGCTCCGGGTCGGGTTTAAAGGGAGGAGCCGCTCTACAAGCACCAGTCTCTGCGGCCGGACCCGCCGGTGAGGGCTCAAAGGGCGCGGCCTGAGCCGGCGGCTTTGCTTGCCTGGAGGTGGGAGGCTCAGTGTGCCAACGTCGCCCTGCCGCCGCGGTGACTCCCCCAACCGCTGCCATGCCTTGCCCTGCCTATCGCCTCATTGTCCAGGGTAAGCGACAGCCGAGGGCAGCGAGCTCTTGGCTCCAGACACCCTTTGCCCAGCAATGGGAGACCTACGAGCATCGCTTTCCTATCCCGGCCCCGAGCATCGCTCGCAATGGCGGCGCGCACCTGGTCATGCCTTCTGATTCGACTTCTAAAGCCGCGTTTATACCACTAAGACTCAAGAGGAGTGAATTAAATGAGACCGCTCCTGCCCCTTTCCTGAGGGCTCCCTGCACTCCGCGCCCGCTTATGAAGAGTGGAGGTCCCCGCGGAGCCCCCACGGCCCCGGGAGAGCGCGGCGTGAGCTCCGCTGGCTGCCTCGCTCCAAAGCGTGGCACACAACTCGGCACGGGCACACAGCTTCGCTTAAAAACCAAAGCTAAGATGTAGAGGCAGCTCCTGAGTCCTCCCTCACGGGGCACTGCCCCTGCTGCTCGAGGCGACGGTGCCCAAAGCCGGAGTTGTCACGCAGGTACTACATTGGCCTTCTCAAGCTTCGTGCTGGTTCACGGTTTCACAAATCTAGGTACTAAAAAATTATTTGCATTTGGAAGAAATTAAAGGACATTTGAAGCACTGTCTTTTCTGTACCTGTCTTCCATTGATGTCTGCTGTGCTGTGTCTAACAATAACTTATCCTATGCTTTGTGTCTAATTTCTCTTTTCCCAAACATCTTGAAACTTCTTCATAGTTATATAATCTTTTTCTTTTCTTTTCTTTT